CAGGAACTCCCCTCGGTGGCGTCCATCACCTTTGCACCTGGATCGGAGTGGATGATGGGATGGAAGAGACGATCGCCGTCGGAGAAAGAAGAGCCGGAGCTCCTGCGCATGGAGCAGAAAGCTTCGCTTCTGGATACGCCGGTCATCAGGATGCTGCGAACTGAGCCGAGTGTGCAAGGCGCCTCCGAGTCCGAGGACGCCTCCGCGTTCTTTGGCTTAGAGCCAAAGCCGGCAGAGGCCGCAACCGAGGCCGAGGCAGCCGAGGCAGCCGAGCCTTCCAGGCCTCCGAGCCTGGAGCAGGCGGCGCCGAAAGCGGTGCCGAAAGCGGCGCCGAAAGCGGTGCCGAAGGAGACGAAAGCGGTGCCGAACGGTACCGCCGTGCCCGCCACGACAGAGCCGCCAGCTCCCGCACCCGAGGCGCCCGAGGCTTCGGAGGCTGGCGCCGCTCCCGCCGCTCCTCCCGCTCCTCAAAGCGACAAAAGCGGCGAAAGCGGCGAAAGCGAAAGAGGCGGAGCTCCCAAAAAGCCGGAGCCGGCAGCAAAAGACGCCGCGAGCTGGATCGACATCGTGATCGGAGCACAAACCGTTCTTCACGTGAAGAACCCGGAGGAGATCGAAGCGACGAGTTCCGATCCAAATCCCCAAGTTGCAACTTTTCGAGGCTCAGCTGCAGCGAGCTCTGGGTGAGCGAGGGGCAGCCGGCCGCGAACCGAGGAACGAACAACGTCACGGTGGAGGCCGTCCCTTTGGTTCCCAACGAGCGCCTCTCCGTGTCCCAGACTCCGAAGGGAAACAGGACCCGGAGCTTAATGCAGAGGGTTCGCTGTTCTGCCGTTTAAAGAAGAAGTTTGACTGTGACCAGGACGCTGCTCGTGGAGGCTTTGGAGGCACTGCAGGCGCGCGACTAGCCGAACTGCGGGTCGAAGTCCGTCTCTCCGCAGCTCCAAAGCTCGCCCCATAAGGCGGGAGGCGGCGGAGCCGACGCGCGGCCCTTTCCCAACGTGGCGACGGCGGCAGTGGCGGCCATGGACAGGGCGCTCTCGGAAGCGGCGCTGACCAGCCGCGACATCGACAAGGCCAGGCACACGCGAGCTCCCGCGTGCGGACAGGCTCTTTTTTGCCCATGGTGTTCGCGCTGCTTCCGTGGAGGTGGAGGTCCATGAGAGGGCCGCCTTGGAGAAGAGCGAGTCCTTGGATGAGAAAGCATCGGAGCTCTCAAAGCTCCCCAGCTGCGATTCTTGTGGGGGCGGGCGGGCGCCGCAGGCTGCAGCTGCAGGCTGCCTCCCAAGTTCCGGTAGAGTGTCTTCGATGTCTGGGTCGGCGGGCGTTGCATCTTTTGTCGGGCGGTGTTTTCGCGTGCGACTGAGCCCTGAGCTCAGGACCTTGGAAGACATCGCCGGACCCCCGCAAAGGGAGAGGACAGGAGAGGAGAGTGCCACTTCACCGAGGCCGACGGCGTGTCGGAAGCCAGCCCTCAGCAGGCAGGGGACCCTACCCCCGACCACCCGCAAGCCTATGCTGCACACCCGTCTTCAGATCATCAATGCGACAACCATGTTGTATGACTGCAAAACCCCTGTTCCTGAAACGGTTGCTGTGGATGTCGGGAGTGCAAACCAAGAAGAAGTCGTCTAAGATGAAGATGTCGTGGCGCTGTAACCAATTGATGAATTGATGCCTGAACCTTGTTGATTTTGTGTGGCACGTTCGTCTCCGCAGGTTGCCAAGGGGGCAGAGGAGGCTTTGCGGCTTCGCGGGCTCTGGCAGGCGCGGAAGCGCGGCTGCCCTCGCTGAGTCGTCGGTTCAGAGCCGTGTCCGAAGTTCGGATCAGCCGTGCCCTTTTTTTGGGAGGAAGACCAGAACAGCAGCCTCATGGCCGAGCGGGAGAAGAGGGAGCTTCTGAGTCAGCGTCTTGCCTCAGCTGTAAAAGAGAGTTCTCAGCCTTGCTTTTGGTACCGCAGAGTGACGTCACAGCAGGATTGGCTGGCCTAGTAGACGTAAGCTGCAGTGCGTGTCAAGGGGTGGCAATGGGTGGCAATGGGTGGCATGTAAGGCTTGCAGAGCAGCTGTCGACCGTTGCGGCTGGGCAGAACTAGGGTGCAGTCCAACGAGCTTTCCTCTCAGCCCCGCGCACCCTTGAATGCCCAGGTTCGCTCCGGCCGCTTGTCTGCTTTGAAAGCGCGCCTTTTGCTGCCGCGAGCGCCTGTTTTTGAGGCGTCACGGCATTGAAGGCGGTGACCCTGGGCTTGCATTTGGAGGCCTGGAGAAGAACATCACGCAAAACTCCACGGTCTCTGAGTTTCACCTCTGTTACAGTGGGCCTTCTGAGACCGACAGCTGTAGCAACCGCTTATGCGCGTTCTGTGTGACTTTCTGGCATTTTCAGGTGAACCTCACAGCAGCGGCTGCGAACTTCCGGGCGCTCAGCGACGAGACGCTTGGATTCAATGCGTGATCCCTTTTTGTTTCACCGCTGTGCCGTAATAGGCGTATTCACAAAAAGCTGTCAGGTATACTCCGCGCGTATTTTTCCCCAGTTCCAGGATCTGCTCCTTGAGAGCCCTGGCCAGGAGCTCTGGAAGCTTGCTGCCCGTGGAGGGCGTGGCGGGAACGGAAGAGATCCAACGATACAAGGAAGCGCCTCCTTGGCCTGATCGCAGAAGTGCGAAAAGAGCCGCGAGAGCCCACGCTGGCGACTGCTTTTGTCGGAGGTGCTCCTACAGAAACTCAAAGACATCCGGCTGGCACCTCAGGGACCCCGCCGTTTGTGCGCCACAAGACTTCATGACGAAAGATGTGTGTCTTCTTGTTGACCTCCGTGGCCTTCTCTGGAGGACGCAGACCATTTGTCTCTCTCTCTCTCTCTCTCTCTCTCTCTCTCTCTCTCTCTCGCTCGCACTCTCGCTCGCTTTCTCCTCTGGCATCACCGGTCGCAACGCTGGCGAGCGGATGCGTCAACTCTAGTCTATAGCGCTTCGCCGAGGATCCTGCCGCCCGTTGGAAGGCCGCTCACCGCAGAGATCGCCAGCGGCAAGGATGGCCCCATGACCATTGAGCTGGTGGCCAAGAACGAAACGGTTGCTCGGCCAGGCTAAGGCTAAGCCGAAGGCTAAGCCGCTAAGTTGCCGCGTTGCCGCTAAGCTGCGAAGGCCGAAGATTCCCTGCGTGTGCTTTCGTTTGCGGCGACGGCCCAGGCTTCGGATTTCAAGGCCTTGAAGGAGGATCTGGAGCTGGCGAGCCGACAGCTGCGGAATGCCACCTCCCATGTCCAGGCCGAGTTTGTTTCTCTTGGAGCTCTCTTTTTTTGCATCTTCTTGGGCATGTCCAGTGTTCTAGGGTTGTATAGTGGCTCGTGTTTGGCATGTGCAGCCGTTTTCTGCTCAAAACAAACCCAAACCCCGCTCCATCCTCCGAAGCAGGGAAGCTCGACCTCGGGCCTTTCGAAAACAGTATCGGCCTTCCCGTCATTGGACGCGACTTAACATGACTCAAGCATGGCATACATGCCTGGCTTGCCTTTGCAATGCGACCGAGCTCCGCTCGCAGAGCAACGTAGCAGCGCGAACTGCGGCGGCTTTCGTGCAGAGCTATATGCTGGAGTGGCAGAGCAGCAGGCTGTGCATGGAAGGCATTTAATGACACAAGCTGAGCTTAAAGGAATTGGCAATCGCCGCACAAGTCGGCACTCAGTGCCGCAGTGGGGAAAGCTCCAGTTGCTGCACCAGCGGCGCCCACGAGCAGAACGGGGGGAGAAGATAAGCCGCCTGTCTTAGACACTGCTCAAAGAGCGCAGACTCTCCGCTGCAGAGAGCTTCGAGGCCTATACGGGCGCGGCCGTGGCAAAGGAAAAGAGGGCGGAAGCAGAGAGCAGAGCTGTAGCGGCGGCGGCCCACATCTGTCAGGAGATGGCCAAGGTGGGGGGTCACGGGACGTGCAGTCGTGTCGTCGAGATCATAGAGTCGCGTGTTCTCGGCCCGCAGGAGCTGGAGGCCGCGGACGCCGCGAATCGCAGCCTGGACGTGGTGTCTGCGAAGAAGCAGGAGCCGCGGAGCACCGCTCTATCCGCCGTAATCGGCGTAGTCTCTCTCTCCTTGGGATTCTGCAGAATCTCACGCGAGAGCTGCTCAGCATCGCCGCGAGCTCGCAGTGAGGGCATGGGGCGAGAGTCCTCTCTAGTCGACACACGTTTTATCACAACAGACACGTGGCTCTCTTCGAAGGTGGAAGCAACGGAGAAGCTCTCAAAGGGGATCAGCGATTTCCCCGAGGCCCCGAAAGCTCATGAAGGCTGCAACTTGCGACGACAAGTAGCCAGCTCCACTTCTGTCGCTGAGGAGGGGGAGGCTGGCATCTCGGTTGCAACTTCCGTGGCCAACCGATCAGCAGCTCTTGAAGAAGGTGCCAGCAAGGCACGGCCGGTGCGGCCGGCACGGCCATGATGTGCAGAGCACACACGGCCCTGCTACGCTGTGGTCAGGCTCGGACAGTCGCAGCCCTCCTACGATCTGCAGAGCTCGACTTCGAGGAGAAGGGTGAAGGGGAAGAGAAGACTCTGACGACTCTGAAGACTCTGAAGAGCACACGCCGGCGGAGGAGTCCCTGAACCGGTCGACGGAGGCGACCGCGCGGCTCGCCGGCGCCGGTCACGATGCGCCAGGGCCTCAGCAGGCGGCCTCACAGCGAAACCGCGCGCGCTGTCTGCACCTGCCCAAGGCAGTCCCAGCTCCTGCAGGCGCCCGGCAGCGCCGTGCCTTTCTTTCAGCCTGTGCCTTTTTAATTCAGCGCCTGAGCGAAGCCGCAGCGCTTGCAGGCGCTCCAGGCCGCCGGCAGCGGCCTCCGCCTGGCGAACGCCAGCGGCGCCAAGGCGGGAAATTCCCTCCCAACGCTGCCGCTCAAAACACGCAAGGTTGAGGGGTTATATTTCTATCGGAGAAAGTGCGCTCGTTAAGGGAGGGTCCTCAGAGGCTGAGAAGGCTACAAGGGGGTCGGTCTGCAGAAGTTGAGAGACGACTTGTGGTGCGGTGAGCCGAGGTGGATCTTTCTGGGCTCCAGGAGCTTTTTGGCAAAGGCACTCTGGGGGCCCTGGCCCCGGAAAAGGCCTCGCCGAAGCAAAGACCGGAGAGTCCCGTCGCGTCTCGGCTCTCTGAGCACGCAGTTTTTCGGGGCCCCGAGGTGGCTGGCCAGGATCTTGCGAAGAGCCCAGCCGTAGCAGTGGAAATTGTGCTGTGCAACCAAAGCCACTGAACAAGCGGTTTTGTCGGCTTGAGGTGCCGATTTTTCGAGCTTGGCCCCCAGAGTCGCCCTGTGTGCGAAGCTCGCAGGGAGGACGTCTCTCTCGCGGTGTCTCGAGGTGAATGCCACCACCTCCCAAATTCCAAACGCCAGAAGCTCGGACCGTCGGAGCTCTCTGTTGGAGATCCGAGCTGCCGCTGCCCGCTCTCTGAGCTCCCCTACGACCGCTTCTTCGCGCCGGCTCAAACGACCTCGACCTCCTCGACCACCTCGACGAAGCCCGAGGAGCCGCTGGAGGCGGCCGAGGCAGCCGCAGGGGGCATCCGCAGGGGGCGGGATCCGATCCCTCCTCTCTCTCTCATCTCTCACCCCGCCCGCGCCCGCGCGCCCCCGTCTTCCAGGTGCCGGTGCCAAGCACCTCAAGCAGAGAGAGGCAGAGCGAGGAAGAGGAGAACTGGATGCCCTCGTCCCAGAGACTCTGCGAGACCTTCTGCGCCAGCCTGCCAAAAAAGGTAGAAGCGCCTTATATACGAGGCCCAAAGCCGTGCTTTTCAGCATGGCCTGCGTCCTCTCGCTCCTCGTGGCCGTCCTCTCTTGGCCCACGGCCTCAGCCCTCTGAGCTGGTTTGCTCCCCCGGTTTTATTCGGGCTCTCCAGCCCGAGCCTTGCGCCAAAGTGCGAAGCGGAAAAGGGGCTCTCTAGGTGCGCGCGCGCGCGCCGGCAATCGGCTGCGTGCGGCGACCGTGAACAAAGCCTGCGCGCTTCATTGCTCTTAAGCGGGCCAAAAAAAAAAGGTCTGGCGCTCACTGTCCATCAGCCTTGCTGAAGTCCATTTTTAGGCTCTCTTGCGTTGGCAGCTCCAAAGCACACATCATAGATCCGCTGCAGTCAGAAGAGGATCCTAACAGCAGAAGGTGCGAGCGTAGCCAGCTGCCAAGTTGAGACTATAGTGTACGTGGTGAAGGGTGGCAGAGTGAGAGAGAGAGAGAGAGAGAGACAGAGAGAGAAGAAAAAATAACAAAAAGAGATAGACAGAAAGAGAGGCGGGGAGTGAGTGGATGAGTGAGTGAGTGAGTGATTGGGTGGGTGGGTGGGTGGGTGGGTAGGTGAGTGAGCGAGTGACTGAGTGAGTGGGTAAGTGGGTGAATGACTGAGTGTGTGAGTGCCGTGCATGCGTTCGCCCGCGCGAGCACTGGGCGCACTGATGGCGTGATGAAGCAAGTCAGTGATTGAGCGAGGAAGGGAGCGAGCGATTGAGCGAGCGAGGGAGTGACTAAGTGAGTGAAGAAAAGAGCGAGCGAGTGAGCGGCGGAGAGAGCGAGTGAGCGAGAGAGGGAATGAGCGAGCGAGCGATGTGTCAGTGCCTGCAGGGCGAGCGGGCGTGAGGGAAGGAGGTGAGGTAGGTGAGGTGAGGCGGGGCGGGGGGCGAGTGACCGAGTAAGTGACTGAGGGAGAGATTTAGGAATGGGGCAGCGTGAAGGAGCTGGTCTCTTTCAAGCACCAGATGCGGGATGGCCGGCGACAAGGCGGGTCTCGGCGCAAGCTGCGCCCAAGAGATGTGCATAGCGGCTCATAGAGCGGCGCGTGGCCGCTGAGGCAAAGAGCCAGGCTGGTGCTCTTGGGAAACGCATGGAGACTCCGCTGAAGCGTGCCTTGTCTTGGCAGTTGCACAGACAGATGCACGGCAGAAGACCACAGTGCAGAAGACCACAGTGCAGAAGACCTGTTGCTCTTCCAGAGCCTGGAGGCTGAGCACATGGGATCCTCAGCTGAAGTGGAAGGCTGCGAGAAGAGCAGCTGCTAAGACGCTCAACATAGCTATGCAGATCTACGGAGCGTTCCTGGCATGCAGGCGGTGTCGCCGTGCTCAAGGATGCCATCCAAGAAGCGAAGAAAGCGTCCGGAGCCCGTAGCCACATGGTCTCAGGATAGAAGACAGAGCACTTTTTCGTGGCTGTCGACTTCAGGCGCCTGGTGAAGGGTGCGATAGCCAGAGCAGAGGCGGCAACTTTTGAATCTTCAGCAAGCAGCAGAGAACGAAGTGCCATGTGGGTGGAATGCAGGCTGTGGTGCCGGAGACCATCGCTGACCTCAAGCGTGCTTCTGCCATGGACGTTGGAGGGTTTTTGTAGTGTTCGAGACAGATCAAAAAACGATCCTTGAAACGATTCTTGTTCTTCGCACCAGCAAGACATGCTGACAAGCGTGGCTTCAGTAGACGCCTGGCAGGCATCATCGCCGACAAACACCTGACGGAGAAGCGCAAACAGCCCAGCTCGGTGGAAAGTCCACCTCGAGATTATGATGTTACTTGCAGTGCAAAGACTTTGCAAACTCTCAAGTTGCCAAGGAATAGGCATAAGATGGAGTTGTAACTTGTCTCAGAAACAAATTAAATGCAAGTGGAACTTTGATGCGGGGTCCGAAAAGGCCTCGCGGAGGAGCGGCTTCGTGGCGAGGTTGAGCAGCCCGGCGCGAAAGCTTCGGGTTGTTGCTCCACAGAGACTCACACCGTGAGACAGTTTTACCTGTGGGGAGAGAGGCTAACTTGTGGACTTGACGTTTGGACGAGGACCTGAGGATCCTCCGCTCGCAGAACTGTGCGGTGCTCGGCTCCGCTGGGCGCGGCAGGCCGCCAGCTTTGGGAGCGGGAGAGCGGTCTTTGTTGCGGGGAGTTTCGGCCGAGAGGCACTGGAGGTTCTGGTCGCGGGAGGGCCCGATCGAAGGCACAGGCTCCCGTGCTCCTCGAAGCGACTCACGAGAACACACAGTGTGTCTCCTCCATTTCTACTGAAAGCCCCCTTCCAATTTCTGTCGGCTCAAACATTGGAGAATGTAGGGAAGGATTGGGAAGACACGGGGGGCGGGGGCCGCGAAAGGGCGCCGTCCGCCGCTGTCTCGGCCGGGGCCTTCCGCGCCATGTCCGGAAGAAGAAGGACGCCAGGGCCACTGGCTGGAGGGACCTCCGGGAGCGAAGCACAGGCCCAGAAGGGAGGGGGCTCAGAGAGGGGGGCCCAGACCGGGAGAGAGAAGAGCAGATTGTCTTGATTGCATGCAGATTGCAGCAGCTGCATGCAGCTGCAGAAAAGATGCTGTCACATGCAAGGCTCAGCGGCTGGTGGTGGATCCAGTGCAAGGGGCCTCAGACCTCCGCCTCCGCTCCAGCCGCTCCATGACACCGTCGGCGCGAGGCATTTGGTCTCTTGGGGCGGCGGCTTGATGCCACCAGTGCGAGGGCACAGAGGGCTCGCTGTCGCCCCCCCCCCCTGCCCCGCCGCGCTCTTGCCGGGTTTTGCTCAGGTGAGCTCGCTGGAGCCAAGGATACGCGAGAAGGCCTTGTACAGTTCCACCCCCAGGCTCAGCCAGCTCGGGCTCGGGCTCCTTCGCTGCTCGAGCGCTCGCTGAGGCTTCTACCTCCCAAAGCTTGCGGAAGACGGCCACTCAGACGAGGCGGGGAGGCGGAGGCGGCGGCAGCAAAAGTTTTGCGAAGTGTCTCCACTGGCAGGTCTTGAATCGCTGTGTAGCACCTGGGCGAAGATATGGGCTTTGGCATACATTTCTCCACAGCTTCCAGCTTGCGACAGTCGCAGCTCTGCGAGTTGCTTCGTGATATCCTTCAATTCATGAGAGCCACTGCTTGTGGGTAGTACCACTGATCTCGATCGAGATGGTTGAGTATGTCGTGTCTTCAGGCAAGGGCCACAGGGAAAGGCCTTCAAGGAGGGGGCAAGTGGAGTCTGAGACGCCCAACTTGCCGTTTCTGCAAATTTCTGCGACCCGGGGGGGAGGCTCTCGGAGTGCCAGTGTCGGGGACTGAACTGAAAGCTCCGCTTAAGAATTGGTCGCTGGAGCTGGAAGTTCTATAACTGAGGTGGGCGCCCTGGCCCAAGGACAAGTTCGGGCCCCAATGAGCGCGCGTTTCGTGTCGAGAACATGTTTTCGGCACTTCTGGAGGCCATGCCTCCAGCACAAGCCAGCAGCCACAGCTGCTCCTGGATGCAGCACAGGCGGGGGGGCCGAACCTCTCTCCCTCTCTCCCTCTCTGTCTCTGGGAGAACAGAGCAGCGCCTGGCGCAGTCACAGCCTCGCGCACGGCCGGAGTGAGAGCCCCGCAGCTGCAAGAAGTCAAAAAGAAAGGAGTCGGAGAGGGGCGGCAAGACGAGGGAGGGTGCGGCGAGAAGGCGGCGTGTGCCTGTGTCTGCTTGAGGCAGTCTCGGAGTGACGCCCCGAAGCGGCCGCCGCCCGGGCAATTGGGGCCCCCAGGGCCATGGCCCCGCGGGCCAGGGCCAAGCAGGTGCCAGGCGCTCGGACGTGCTGTGAAGCAGACACACTGTGACACACAGACACACTTTTTGGGCGCCTCGTGACTCTTCGCACTTTGGATCTTCGCTGAAGCGATGGCACAGAGCCGCCGCGTCCGCGCCAGCAAAGGAATTATGAATGCCCGCGCAATGTAAATACACATACATGCATATTTGCAGCTTCTTGCCCAAGTCGATCCCAACATGCTCGCCAGGGCCTGGGAGGGAGGGCTCAGCGAGAGTCCAAGTTCTTGCAAAGCCGATGATGCTTCCAGTGGATGAGGATTTTTTCGACTGAACTTTGAGGCACGTGAGCACCAGAGCCAGAAGACCCCTTGACAACAGCTCGCGCGAACGCTGCAAACACCATGCTGGCCATGCCAAAGCTGCAAGCTGCCTGCAACAATCGGCCATCAAGAAATTGCCAGGGCCGTTTCCACAGCACATTCCACTGACAAGAGCCTTTCTTTTCACCATCTGAACTGTGTCCAGGCCTCGAAGTCGAATGAGCTCCGGGAGAGGTCCCACACCTTGCTCTAGCACTGCTGAGAGAACACAGACGACAAGCGAGCAGCATGTGTAAGCAGAGGGATGAGCCGGATGAGCTGGATTGCGGAGGATATTCACAAATCATCATCCTTGACTTGTTCCCATGCTTCTTCCGAGAGAGTCTGACACCCCCATGGCTCGGACTTTGTGCAAAGCACACCTTCTCGGTCACAAGCTACAGCAAAGGTCAAAGCAGGAGGCGCAAAGAGCCCTTCACGAATGTCAGATTGCACTTTAAAGATAACTCGAAACCCCAAAACTCTAGCTGCTCTAGCCACCCTGCCTGATTCAGTGAAATCGCCGACATAAGAGCTCTTCTTCACTGGCCAGGGAGAGGTATGTCCGGCAAGTCTGCCAGGTTGCCGGCGGCCCGCTTTCCTGCCACCCTCCTCTCTCTTTTGCACTTCTTCCTGCAACAAATTCACTGCAGTCGAAAGTCCAAACTCGGTCGGATTCACCCCGAACCCGGCTAACTGAAGCCAGCTCGAGTCCACCAACACGGAATCGTTGGACACATCGCTTCTGTCTCGTTCAAACTGGTGACCACTGACCGACTGCCTGTCACGCCCTTCGTCGGCACCAGTCCCATTCTGCGAAGCTGAGACCTGGAGGAGGTTGAACACAGCTTTCGCCAGTTGACAGCGCGCACCAGACCGGGGGCGGGTAAGCAAGCCGAGAGCGAGATGGGCACGGCTTTCTCCAGCCTTGTAGGGCTTTCGGGGGGATTCGTCTGCTCCCCAGCTTCCCAGACTGCGGAAAACAGTCGATGA